GCTAAATTTGTCTTTGAATTGTATCTATCTTCCATATCTTATTTATCTTTCATATTTTACTTATCTTTATATACTTATATATACTTTTCTACTTTTTCAGATATCAAACTTAAAAAAAAAAACGTTTTTTCTTTATTTTAATATTGTTTAATTATGTAATTTGATAATTTGATATCTGTTTTATACGTTCTTTTTTACAAATTCAGTTCTTTGAGGTATTATATACATTACATATATAAATATATATTATGTATTATATTTTTATTTATCTTTTATACTTATTTTTTCAGATGTCATATTTCTTACTTCTTACTTTTTAAAAAAAAACGTTTTTCAGATATCATTTAATTTAACATTAATCACAGAATTCAATATATATATATCTGTTTTATATTCATGTTTTATAAATTCAGCTCTTTAAGATCTTTAAGATATTTAAGATATTTTAAAATCTTTACATTAAAATTGATAATGATGAGAAATTTTCTTGGAATTCCAGTTTTTAGATGCGATCTTAATAATATCGAAATTTTGCCGAGAAAATGAATAATTAAGGAATACTATTATGGCATTTTTGAATTGGCGGGAAAATGTTTCTATCCTTTTCCCACTATATTACGTTCCTTGTCTGTGACGTCACGCTGATGAGTATACCTCCTTGCATATTCTGCTATGCTAGTAACAAATCGGAGCTTCCATGATCCAAACGCGAGATGGCGCTGATCGTCGAAATTTTTTCATTTTTTGTATCTTATGGATATCCCAGGATCAAAGAATAATACAGTGGATAAAATATAATTTAAATGTTATTTGTAAAGAATACGTTAAATGTAATAATAAAGAAAAAATATTTTTGAAGAAATAGATTTATTTCAAAATATATATATTATACATGTGTAAGTAAATTTTTATTTAAATGTATATTATATGTATAAATATTGTTTCTTAATTTATATAGATGTATGATTAAGATTAATTTTATATTACAAATAAATCATATACATTTTTACAATAAATTTTACAATATTTATTTATTATTATCGTATTTCAGATTGAGGATAATTAAAAATATTGTTATTACGTATATACATAAGATACTAAGTATGATGAATTGATCATGTTTAACTGGTAAAATTATGAACAAAACATAAATAAAAATCGAAAAGTTGCTTTTTGTATTTTATATATTATAATTTTTAAGTTTTTCATATTTATGTATGTATAATCTAATTTTAATTGCTAAATGAATTTGAAAATTTTAAGAAGAAATAACTACATTATTTTATTCTATATCATTTATTCTAATTTTATAAACATTTATAGATATTAACAAATATTTGTATTTATATTATTATTAACATAATAAGTAATGATAAAATTATAAAAAAATAATTTTGGGCCTTTTACGCTCTTGTTAAATTTATGATTTTTAATCATATTTCAGCGCCGATAAATGAACGTGACGAACATTCGGTTGAAAAAATTATATAGATACTGTATTATAAAGACAAGAAAATAGGTATGAAAACGGCAAGAAAAATAATTGCATTTCATTTTGGAATCACAACGAATAAAGTGCTTTAACAGTATTTATAAAATATATTTTGCTGATGATTTAAATATCAAATGATAATAAGAAGGTTTCTTCAGAGCGGTAAAAAATATGCAAATATTACGTACATATACATTTTTATATACTTCGTATATTTTATTACATATTTTTATTTCTTATCAGATAAAATTTTTTACAAATCAATAGAAAGAATTGCTTAAATATACTGGAATATTTATTTCAATCACAAAAATTGATAAATAAAAGATCAATAGATTTTAAAAATAATTCCTTTGATACATCTTTTTATAAATATTGCTGTGCATTATATGTATTTATATTGTATTCATAAATAATTACTATTAATAATAGATTCAAATATAAATTGAATTAAAATTGTATTTTTTATTACAAGCCAATAAACACAGTATAAATATATATAAATTTGAATTTTTTTTAATTCTTCTGGAAATATGTCTTTGAAATACAAAACGTGATCTTCTATTCTTATTTTATTCAATCAACTTTTGAAGATTTCCTTAACATTTCAGAGATGACGTTAATTTCTTTATGCTTCTCTCACTATTTTCTTTTCTTGTTTTGCGAAATGTACGCGCTCTGATATCCGTTATATCATCTTCTTTGTATAATTTATTGATAAATAATCTTAAAAATTTTAAATCATCCATACTTTTTTATCCGTTTTATATAAATATGAATAATAAATATTGAAGTTTAAAATTTTATAAAAAACTGATATTGTTTTCATTGCACTATAACAAAAAAAATATGAACATATTTTTCATTTATGAATGATTAAACTCATACATAAGTTTGTCTAATAGTTAAGAAATCTATGAATACGATCCATTATTACATATAACGCATAAAAATATTTATGAGAGAATATATATATATATATATATAAAGATTTTTAAACGACTATTTATTATTCACTTTATCAACTTTTGTGATTGGATTAAATATAATTTCTGTATTTTAATACTCGGAATCGAATACTTTTGGACATGAAGCACAAAATCCTATTATATATTAAGTCTGTTTTGTACACGAAAATTTAGACAACATTATCTCGCTTTTCTATCAATTTCATTTTCATTATCCTATATCGATTTTCTTGTCCCTTTTCAATCGCACGCTTTTACAGTTACTTTACGTACATTTTTTTTTTTTTTTTTATTATTTTCCCTTTTTACCGGTCCGCTACCTCTCTCCACGGTATTGTTGCTTCCCCTCAGAAACGACGAAAAATCGACGGAACCACTAATTGGTTCTGTCAATCCTATAGAGGGGACTCACACGTTGATGGGCTATGTCGGCTTGAAAAGGAAAGGATGGAAGAACGTTGAAACGACGAAGCAAGGGTCACGTCGACCGGAAAGATCCGTTACGGGAATACAACGTTCCGGGAGAACAACTTTCATTACAGTTGCATGCCTTTTTTGCTTCGTTCATTCGTTTTTTCATTTTTCTTTTTTTTTTTTTTTTTTTTTTTTTTGTATTTTTCTGCTCGTTTTATTATCGGATTTTCTATCTTTTTCTAAAAGTGCGGTTTGCCGCGGTACTTGTTCATAGTATTTGGCCGTGTTTCGATGTTTAGTCGCCATGATGTTTAAACCAACATCCCTGTACAAAACGCGAGATTTTTTTCACTCATTGAAACGTAAGTAAATCGTAGAACGATCGATCATCAAAGAATTTTTACACACTTTTGTTACAATTTTCTTTTACATTGAAAAACACAATGGGCACGTAAACTTTTTGGTTTTTTGGAGATTGAACAATTGATTAAAGATTTAAAAACAAATAAAGTTTTTCTATTTTATTCTTAATGTTATATATCATATAACGTTACGAATCATTAATTGAAAAAATCGAAAAATATTAAAAAATAGTAATATTTGACTTGGATTTTATTGCATAATGCTATATGATGCCACGTGTAAATACATAATTTCGTTTATAACATCTGAATTTAGTGTTTCATATATCAAAATCATAAAATTTCAACCAAACATATTTCGCTCATAAACATTAAATTGATCGCTAATTGCTATATGATATTCAACATAATAATTTCTGATTATTGATTTAGTTATTTATTTTTTGCTTACTAATTATTAATTAGAAAATAAAAATATATTTTATGTTATTCGATTTAATCATATCGTTGTTAATCATACTCGCGCTTTAACGTTCCTTATATTTTTCTTTTTCTTCATATTTTCTTAACAAGTTTTGGTTAATGAAAAAGGAAAATGATAGCTTATATACGATAAGAAATCAAAAATTTTGCCAATCGATGGAACTTTAAATTTTAACGAATAATCGTCGATTCCATTGATCGGTAAAATTGAAAAATTCCCTGATTTTCTGACTTAACTGACTTAACAACGATCTTTGCATTCACTGGAGTTTTACGAGTTAAACGATGTATCTATAATTCTATAAGTTTTTTTATTTAGAAAAATAAATAGCACGCGAACTCCAATTTATTTACCATCTAAATCTATCTATTATCCAAAAAAAAAGAAAAAAAAATTCTTATATTAACGACAAATGACTAATTTACGTTATACTTATATCGATATTAAAACTTATAAGTTCTTATTCTACTTCTAATCTTTAAGTTTAAAAAGCAAATAGTATATCTACGAGAAACGTGAACGGTAATAAGCTAAATGTTAAATCAGTTCTTATCCGATAAAAAAGACATTTTCATTATTTCTGTTTATTATACGCTTATGATATTCTTCAAATAGAAAATAGAACGCACAAACAAACTTTACAATAGCGAGAATAAAATGTATTTTCTCCAAAAGTTCTCGAAGATTAAAATATAAGTTTCGCAAAAATATCTTTACACACACATTCATCATTCTGACTACGATTCCTTCAACGACTACATCCATCGAGCGCTGCTCGTGTGAAATACACGCACGTACACACATAACAAGTCAGTTTTGTTCTATTTTGTTCGATGGCCTCGATGGAGAGGAATCGATCGGGCAATAGCTAGCTGACTCGATAAGGTAGTAGATCGATGTTGTATCCAATCGATGATCTTGGAAGATTCGTGTTTCGTCAATCTCGTAGTTGGATGGATCGATCATTGCACCTCGCAAACGAAAAAGGTTTCGAAACTGCACGGACTGTCGTTCCACTTCAATCCCTTTCCATCCCTATTCCACAGCTCGAGGCAGTGTTCTTCCTCGCCGTTCTCGTATCTGTAACCAAATACATTCATTTATTTCTTATTATACTCGCTCGCGAAAAATTGTAAGTTTTTTTTAAAGGGAGGGTGGGGAAAAATGGCAATTTTTTTTAATAGCTTAAATTATAGGGTATCAGCATTCAAGAAATACGTACCTGAAATTATTCGGCTCGCCTACGTTCCAATTTTCAAAAGTGATGGGTCTGCCATTGGCCATCCAGAAGAAAGTACCTTCTTCGGCCTGGTCCGTACCAGAGGTCCAAAAGTGCTCGTGTCCAAGACCGAAATCCTTAATATGTTTCTCCAGTCTGTCGTTTTCCTCCTGCGACGCTATGCTCGCCAGATGCATCCCGTGGTATCGGCAATATTGAGACGCTCTGTACCAATTGGCCTGGAAGATTGCAAAACGAATAAAATAATTCGCATAAGAGGCATTAAAAAGAGGCGAATTTTACTTTCATCTTTTTATACGAAACGAAAAGAAAAATCAATGGCACTTTTATCTTATAGTTTATTAAGTACAAAGATGTAAGTAAAGGTTAGTTAGGTTAGGTTACGTGGGTATATGTTTCACGTTAAATAAAAAATGAATAGATCGTACATGATAAAGTTATGTGAACGGTAAATGTTATCTTTGAAGGGAATAATACATGCATTGATTTGAATGGTAATTTGTTATCGTAAAGTGAGATTCGATGTAATTAAAACTGGACACTGGTTTGGACATTAACAATAATTATTCGTTAAATTATGGACTTTGATATAACACTAGTCTTTGTACGTTTAAACCGTAGATACAATTTGCAGTATTATATCGTGATACGCTTAATGCATCGGGTTTATGTAATTAAATTAATTGATATTTTCTTTCGAAAATTCGAAATATTCGCATAACGTTGTCAAAATATAATGCTCCTACGTGGAATCAAAGAATTTTAAAAATCGAATTAGCAAATTTTACGAATATTTTGTATTATAATTCCTGAAATTAACGCATCACTTTTTATTGCAACTTAGTTCCATTAATATGATACCGTTGATAATAGATTTTCAGAGAAGTAACGCGTTTTCCTCGAATTTTCTAAGCACTTTATATATAAGCCATTCTCGTTTCGCACGCGATATCATTTTTTTCATACGTCGTTCATATTTCTTACGTCACGTCGTCAAGATTTGGTCGAGTTTTCGACGCGGAGGAACTTTTTCCCGTGGTTAAAGTACTCGAGACACGTGTCACCTTCTGCACGAGAGTGGAAACGAGAAAAGAAGGCGAATGGAGGAGGAGGCGAAAAAATCACGCGCGAAAAACTCGGCCAGAATGCAAATAAATCGCGATAAGTAGAAAATGGTTGCGATTGCATAGTACGATACCGGTTTCGCGTATACCATCGTAGGATAAACTACCTTCTCCGTGTCGTTTACGACACCCAATCTTTTCGATATCCCGCTTGTTATTCTTTTTCTTTTCGGATCGCGTCTTCTCTCGTTCTGGACCAATTTCCATCGCTCTTTCTCATTTCCTCCTCCGTTAAATCGTTTCGTTGCGTGAAAAATCGAGAAACATTTCGAATAATCGCGTCCCCCTAATTTATTCCTTAATCGAATTTACTTGAAAATTACTCGATTCCGATGAAAATACCGGTTCTTTATGGGCAGAAAGGGCAGCGCAGACGCTCGTTCCGTCTAGCAAATTACCCATGGCAATCGATGAACGTGAAAAGAATTATTCGCGATCGCGTATACCGAGCCACCCTGTTTTCTCCCGTAATTACCCTTTTACTTTGTCCATAGTAAAAAAAAGGAAAAAAAAATCGAACGTTCACGAACGTCTATTCGAACGTGCCTCCTTTCTGTCCTCGAACAATCCACCTTGTTCTTTACATTTTTTCGAAATTGAAAGAGATCTCGACGCAATTGCGACGAGATAAAACGATCGGAAATTTGCTTCCCACGTGGAAATTATTTTATGTAGACGTTGCAAAGAAAAGTTTTCGTTTCGAGGAAATGATATTTCGCGCGTATCGATCCGATGCATCGATTCAAACTCTCTCCTCTCCTCTCCTCTCGTGTCGCTTCGATACGCTGGAAATGTGTGTTTTTTCGTAAAGTGTAGCGGAAAAAGGAAAAATGGAGAGTGAAAAATTATACGTATGCAAATACAGGGGAAAGCATTTTAATACAGTTATTTGGACGATATCTAATTAAAGCGGGGACGAGATGCTGCGACCGTGGAAATAAAAATATAAAATATTTTTCCGTTGAAATATTTGCGTTATAATTATTCGTGTTTCAAGTGAAATTCTCCGCCCACTTTACATTACGTTCAATTTTATTCATAAATCGTATTTCCCTCCTTTTCGTTGTCACCGGATACACCTTCCTCCATGAATTTCGCGTATCCGCGGAGGGAAGGGGACCGTCCGAGCGGCACGATTCACCACGCGAAAGTACGAGCTCAAAAACGCGAGCGTAAATCCGCATAAATTTTGCCAGCCGGCTCCATTACGGCTGGCAAATGACCACGCAACAAGCATTCTCGTATTTTACAAGCGATAGGGGAAGCGCAAAAGAAACACGGGTGGTCCGCGACATTTGCATATTTCGTTCCCATTCAAATATTTCTAATATTAAACAACGCTTACGCGCTTCCAAAGAATTTCCGAAATTCCTGCGTTTACCAAATTGATTTAAATAAAAATCCCCCGATTACAGAATTTTCCTTTCTCAACGTCATCCAACGTTTCGTGAAACGTTTTACGAAATATGATATAATCTTGGATCGGATATTCGGAATAACGGAGTAACGGAAGATTTATCGGGGGAACAGCATGGATCGCTCGTTCGCCTGCGAAACGAAAGGTAAGACGAATATCTGGAAGGACGTCCGTTAATCCGGATTACAGGATGGATCGGGCCGCCGCTCCTTGACGCTGTTGCGAAACACCCTCATTTATCGCTTTACGTCACGTCCACCGTTTCGGAAAGATGGTTGGATGCAAGGCCGGACGCGCCATTGCAAAATCTTAATAACACGGTTCCGTTTGCGTGCGATCGAAGCGATTCGAACCGTGGAGCAATCGTAGAGAGAGAGGGAGAGAGGGAGTCGTTCGATCCGAACGAAGAGGAATTCGTGGCCACGAACTGGGAACTCGAAGGGGCGTAGGGTCTAGGTTAGAGGTGTGTCAAAGTGGGTTTAAACTAGACACGAATACGCGATAAATGGGTTAATGGTACTCGCAGGCATTGATCGTCGCCGAGACGACGCTGTTCCTGTTTTAAAGTGGCGCGGAACGGAGGCGAGGTTGCGCCAGAGAGGAAGGAAGAGTCGTTGAGATTCTGACGTTGACGCGAAGTAGTCCCGAATACAATCGGTGAGGATTGAACGAAGACAGAGAGGAACGATGGTTCGTCGTTCGAAAATAAAATATATAACAATATTTTTCCTTTCCCTCGTTTCCTTGGAAGAAACATCGACCGGGTGTTGACGAAGTTCCGGGCGAATTTGTTTCGAGGACAAGAGGATTTCCGGGTTCTTTGGCGCGCGATACAAAAAGCATGGAGAGGGGACGTCGGATAGGCGGCGGATCGATAACAGGCCGGTCTGGTATTCGATGCACCGTAAAGCGAGCAAAGTTACGGGCTTGGAAATAATTGGATAATGTCCGGCGAGCGAGCTAGATAAATCAAAGTGATTGGCAGTCGAAGGATACCTTGAAGAAGATCCCCAGGTAATATCTTTTCTCGCCGAGCTTCAACAGCGGCATGGTCCATCTGGAGGCGGCGAGGTTGCTGCTGTGCTCGTCCACGCAGTTGGGACAGTCGTCTGTGAAAACAGAGGCAACGTTGAGACGAGGGATTAAAGTGGGGGGAGGGGGGAAGTAGAAGAGATTTTTATTCTGCCAAGTATTGTCGGTAATAATTACGTTTTTACCGGTATTTACTTTTCCAGAGTTCCCTCTTGATTCACGTAATAGATTTCTCCGTTGGACGTCGTCGCGAGAAAACGCAATTACCAACGTTCACGGAGGATTCGTTACGTAAAGCGGAAAAGTGGATTCTTCGACGGCGCGATTCAAGGAAAAATCGAACATCTACTTTCATCGACTGTTGTGTCGACGAGCTCTCCAAAAGCTCTCTTCGAATGTTCCCGCCGATAAAACACCCCTATGGAAACGAGCATGTGAACTTATTCGAAACGTGATGGTCGAGCTCTTTGATCGAGTGTTTGAAAAATTAGATTTAACTGCTGTTGTAAAATTAAATGACTCGATTCAAAACTTTTACTCGTTTAGGGATTAAATTTTAAGATTAATATCATCCTTTTCGAAAAATAACGCTTATTTCTTTTCTTTATATTATTTATTAAAGCACAATGGTGGAAAGGTGGAGAAGAGGGTTACTTTGTAGAGAAATCAGAAAGAAAGCCTTTCGTTAACAAAGGAATGAACTTTTTAATTAGCACGAAGTTAATTAGTCTAGACTTAGGTCGAGTTAAGATAAAAGCACCGAATTTACTTTTTATCAAATATTTTCGTTAAAATTTAAACTGGCGTTGTTATAAAAAAAAAATAATTTATTTACCAAGAGAAAGATTCGTTTGTTAAGAGAGAGAGAGAGGTAGAAGAAGAACTTACGTATTTCGTTTTACGTAATCTCGACGACAAATTTTCGGCGCCAGATGTAATCGATCGAGGTAAATTTCTCTTCGATTACCTCCGAGTTTCGTATCACGGAATGTAATGCTACTTTATTAACGTTATGTAAATAACACGATTGTAATTTCACTTTTTCTTCTTCCTTACGCGCATCGAGCGACACCATACGTCAAATTGCGAAAGCGTTTTAAATACGAGTCAGCCTTTTCTTTTTTCATATTAACCGATAACTCACCGATAACGCGTATTTGATCGATAATGATAATTACCAAGAATAACAAGAGAATGTCGTAGGTGTTCGAAAGAATAGTAGCGCGGTGTATGAAATCTAATTTCGAAAACACGGTCGTTCCCAAATTGGCAAAAAACGGTCTTACGGCCCGCTCCGTGATACGATTTCTCAACGAGAAGGGAGGGCCATGCATTTTAACGAGATACCCGGCGGCTCTCGATTCCAGCATCGGTGTACACCGATCGAGCCGCTCATTTTCGATTATCCTCTACCCGGCCAACCGTCGCGATTAATCGACCCGGCAGAGAGTTGGCAATTGTCGCGTTCGAGCGCGAGTAACCGAGCAGGGGTAACGAAAGAAAGCGGTTGGGACTCGGTTGGTGAGAAGAAAAGGGGCAAAAACTCTTCTCGCTTTCGTCGCTGGACTAATTAGGACGGGCGTTCTGCATATTTTAATAATCGCTCGGTTAATGGTCGCGCCGCGGCCCACCGTGCCCCCTCCATTAATATTCAACGGATCGCTTAATAGACACCAGCCCTTATTCCCTTATTCCCGTTATTTTTTATCTTCGCGCGAAAACGCCCCGCCAGGGACTCGCCCCGTCGTCGTTCCTTCGTAAATATACGAAGGCAACTTTTCGAATTTAAATTTTAATTTTTCCGATAACGAGCGAATATTCGGCCGATTTTCACGATACAAATTTAATATTAGAATTATTTTGATTATCGTAGGAGGAGGTTTGTGAGGAGAAATTACATACGAATCCATCGATCGATCGGTCCAGCGACGTTAAATCGAAACCTACTGTTTGGCCATTGTTTCGCGATGCAACGGTAAACTCGAGTCCGGGCTAGATTCGAGATGCAATTTCAGATCGTTTTGGAACGATTCGAATCCTTGCTTGTCCTCGAGAGTTGATTGGATTTAGCGTTACAGGATCGTCTCCGCAAAGAGGTGAGTCCATTTACCATTTTGATCGAATTGCAGTTTTTCTCCGTGGTAATTATTAGTTTCTTAAATTTGTCGTTTTTTGCAACAGGAAGTAACGAAATAAAATCTGTTAGAGAAAAAATAGACGGATAATAAATTGGAGAAATCGTTTCACCCGAACGTTGATACACCTTTTCGATATAAAGCGAAATACGCGAGGCGAAACGAGCCTGTGTCCTTCCTTTGTGATCACTTTCTATGCGAATGCGTAGAAGGAAAAATATCGTCGTGAAAGAGGAAAGGAGGAAAAACGGCGGGAGAGGAAAGTTCAATTTCTATTACGTAAATATTTTTAACGATAAGAATAAAATTGCGCGATAAAGAGAGAAGGAAATATAATCATTATCGGTTCTTCAAGTCCCCATTGTCGACCGAGCCAGGAACAGAACCGGTTATCGATCGAGAATCGTACGATTGCCTCGAGGAAAAGCGAATATAACGAAAATTGTCCGATTATTAATATTCGGATCCCCCTAATTCGATAATTCGTTCTAACGATTATACGACGATAAAATAATTCGTAAATATTCGATCCTCGTGTTTCCGTCCTTGAACGAATTAATTATTTACGCGAAATATGTTTAATGGTAAGCGATTTATCGCGGCAATTTATCGAAACGCCCAAACGATGCTGTATGTTAATTGGAGCGGTTGCTCGATTATCGAGCACCAGTTTGTTGTTAAACGTCGGTATCTTCGCGTGTAACGCGATCATTAACGATCGTTAATAAGCTCGAATCTCGGAATAATTGTCGTAATTAATGAACGCGTTACAAAAGTTGGCGTGAACCTGTCTGCCACCTATTTTGGAACGCGTCCAATCATCCGCCCTATAATTTTATGAGCGATAATAAATCTGATTTACCCTTGATTACAACGAAACGCGATAATTGGTTTAAAGATCTCGCGTCGATCGAGCGATTATCGACGCCTAATTTCAAGAGATTCGTATTCGATCGATGTAATAATTAATAATAATCGACGATATTTTGACTATTTATTAAATTAAATCCATACGTTACGTTTACAGTTTCGATCGGGATTATTAAAATATGCGTGGATTTCAGAATTTCTAGATAGAATTTAATCTAGATAGTTATCTGATAAAAAACTCTTTCGAGATATATTGGAATTGGAAACAGACATTTTTTTTTTCAACCCCATTACTCGAGTATATTTATCGCGCGAGAGAACATGGATAGAAGTTGGGTGTAATGGAAGTTGTAGCTCGTCGTATCGCGTACAATGATCGGAGACAACTCGAGACGAAACAATTCTGCCGAATTGAACCGGCGAAGAGGAGAAAGCCGTAGGATCGCTTCATGGGAATGGAAAAGGCAGGTTTCCATCTGACGTTAAAACAGCTGGAATTGAGTTACGGAATCGGAGAAACGTATGTAAGCCGTTTCCCACTCGTTTCCGTTGTTGCGTCCCGTGGATCGCGAAAATCAAAATCTGGTTACACGTTTTCAAGATATTTCTTTCCTCTCGAAAATAAAAATCCGAACGTGGTGTAAAAAAATATATAAAGAAGAAAATATTTAACCGAATACCGAGTTTTTCCGCGAGTTTTCGCAATTTCGAATCGTTTTAAAAATGAAATAAAGATGAAGAAGCAAAATTCTTTCCAACGAGATTTCCAAAAGAAATCATAGTCATACTCGTTCCCGTCAAAATTAACGATTACATAATAATGGCGCGAATTTCAGGATAAGAATGATAAATAGTCGCGAGGAAGATTAGTTGGTCGTAAAGTCGTAAACTCGTACCAACGTCGAGATTAGAAATTTGTCAACTTAATTGGTAAAAGTCTAGTTGCTCGCTATTTATCTCAATTTTTCGGGGTGTTGGCAAAGATGTGCGTAAACGCGTCCAGTGGAAAATTAAACGCGACGGAGGGAGGATGGTTGAAAGCTGGCTTTTTAAGAAAGGTTGGAAAATTCTTTGGACAAGCGGAAGATTATTCGGGTAACCGAGTTATTCGAAAAATCAAGTTGGAAGTTTTGATCTAAGTGGGTCGGGCTTGGACTTTCCAAAAATGTCTCTATTGGAAAACTGTCTTATCCTATTCGGAACGCGATGCACGAGTTTGGCGGAACGAGAAGAAGAAGAAGAAGAAGAAGAAGAAGAAGAAGAAGAAGAATATCGAAATAAGTCGCGCGTTCTGTGTCTGGAATGTAATATTTGCGGTGTAAAATTCCTTTTCTATTTCTATTTACGAAGCGACGAAGAAGAAAATTTTGAAAGCAAAAGTATTTCGAAACAAATTTTTTGTAGTATATTCAAAGATATAATAAATTCAAGGATTTTTAATTACGATGTAATAGAAAAAAGATGAAAAAAGATTCGATCCATTGAATTTTATATCACGATTAAATTATCGTTTTTGATTCAAATTTCGACGAAATACAGAATTAATTGAAATTTCATTGAAATTCCTGCGATAATCAACTCTCAACTATATATCATAATATATTAGGTTACACGTGAAATATTTAATTTCACAGTTCTGTGAAATCATCCAGTATTCAATGGTTAAACGTTCCGTCAAATAACATTTATTATACGATTTAAAAGCTACGTTGATTATTTTATCGCAAAAAGGCAGGGTATGTATATAAAAATGCGAATCAACATCGAATTCGAGCTCTCATTGTACAAGTTTAATACAAGTTTTGATAAAACGCATACCGTTGATTCAGCTTTCGAAAAAAAAATTACTTAACAAAATAGACAAAAAAAACTCGCCGTTAATGCAAAAATACAAACGTTAAAAATAAATCGATGTCACGGATACCTTGATTATTTTCGTTTTTTTTTTTTTTTTTTTNTTTTTTTTTTTTTTTTTTTTGCAATGAAATGAATTTCGCGATAAAAAAGAGAGAGAAAAAAGGTACGTGGGCGATTACGTAGAGGAATTATTGGAGAAACTTGAAACAATCGGG